TATCTATCTATCTATCTATCTATCTATCTATCTAAGTCTGTTCCTATCTATCTATCTATCTATCTATCTATCTATCTATCTATCTAAGTCTGTTCCTATCTATCTATCCTTCTATCTATCTATCTATCATGCTAAAGATGCTAGTGGATGATCGGAGTTTAAATTTTCAATCTAATGAAATTCTGCGGATCTGCCATTATTTAATGGACAATTACAATTTTCCTTTTTATTGAATGACATTATTATTATTATTATTATAATTATTATTATTATTATTAGCACTGAATGGTAGTTATATTCACGAGCAAGCAGCCTTTGGGCAATCCGTTTGAAAACCGATTAGCCGATTTCAGGCTCTCAGAGGAAGGCACGAAATTGAATAAATTCATTTCATGGTCATGTGACCGCAGTTGAAATCATTGAAGCAAATCCTGACAAATCATCTTTACGATCATACCACAGAATAATGACCTGGTGGTCAATGATTCATATATAATTGGGTCGATATTTAATGAGGGTTTTGGGGGGGGGGGCGATGGCCCCCTTGAAGAGAACGAGTTTGAGATGATGACTTCTGCTGCTTTGTCAAAATGCAAAGAAAAGCAAAGAAACAATAGATTATGGAATTGTTTTCTTTTCTTTAGAACAGGCTGAGGGCAAAGAATATTATCTTCCTAAATTGTTGTCTCTTTTTCATAAGTGGCCCGACATTCTGGGGTGAAATGGTCTCCTTATTCCATATATTTTTAACGAGTATCACTTAATGGATAGCGGCTCGGATTGAGGAATCGGAGAGCCGAGTTCGAATTCCAGTCGAATCCATTACATTCACTTACGTGCTTATACCCTTGGGAAAAGTATGAATCCTCTTCTTCTCCCCCCAGCTATGGGTAAATAGCAGGACAGACTGGGTTCTATAGCCTTGGATAGGAGATGGAAAACTCTGAATTCAAAACCTGACCTTCAGCCTACTCATTTAAAAAACTGGCTTGTTATAGAAACCGCAACGATATCTTGCGGCCCTATGTTCCTCAAGGAATATATATATATATTCTCTTTGTTTTTTATCACAACATTTACAGCCGATCAAACGTCAGCAACAGTTTCCGAAATTCAAAAAAAAAAAAAATAACTTTATGTCTCGAACTCATTCTATGGGAGCTTGCTATATCATACAGAAAGCCTTCTTTCATGAAAGGTCTGCTTCCTGATCAAAAGTGATATGGATATTTACTAAAACCCCAGCAAGGTCACAGAATCCTCGTCGTGATCAAAAGAACTATAATCTGCTCAACTCGAGTAAGCCATCCTCCAAGAAGCCTCCCCACCCCCATAAAGCTCCCCCCACACACACCTAGGAAGCATCTCTCTCATTGGACTACGTAGCGATGTCAGGATTGAGACCTCTCAAAATAGTAATGATAATATTATCCCTTTTTCTTTTAAAGAAACTTTCAGCATTCATTGACCAGTGTTAATTTTCGTTGAAATTTCTAAAATCTTTATCTTAACAGTTTGAACCCTGACCACCTCTTTACCGGTGGTAGAGAAAAATGATGTAATGCCCAGCCACCGGTTTAACAGTAGTAGAAAAAAAATGATGTAATGTCCAGTCACCGGTTGATCAGTGGTAGAGAAAAATAACTTAATGCCCAGCCACCGGTTGAACGGTGGGTAAACACTTGTAACTATTTTTATATCTACCGTCAAACATTACATATCAATTATTTGCGAATTTTGACTCGGAAGCTCAGGCAAATGTTTCAAAATTGTTCACGAACAAAAGACTCAGAGGGTTAAGACAACTTTTCAGGAAAATAGGTTTGTCAAGTCCAATAATTGTTATTTCTCTTTCCACTATTGATGGCGGTTTCCTTCCTCACCTTTTGTTCGAAGTAGTGTGGAATATCATCATCTTGATGTCATTATTTTCTCTTCAAGTTGCATGTATCATCCATTTTTGTTGCTGCTGCCGTTGGAAGTTTTCAGTTGATGTGGTTTCTATCATCTGGGATAGTTTTTTAAGCATTTTATACCAAGCAAGGCAACAATGCCATTAAGCAAGGTCCGGCGCCTACTACTCTCCGAACTCACCGACTGGGGAGACCCAGACCTGATTGAGGCCCCTGAGTAGTGCTTTGTGACCCTTGTTATCTTATCAACATTTGCTTTTTTTTTTACCTACATTTATATAAGCTTCAAATTAAACTAAGCACAACTGATTATTAAAGGACGAAACGTTTTTGCCGATTTTGACGTCATTCTGGGGGGGGGTCTTTTATTTTCGTTCAAATCCGTGAATTTGTTTTTCTCATTCTAAATGTAGGGTAGCCTGATTGAGGACTCCGAGCAGTGCTTTGTGACCATCACTATCACTTTTCAATATTTGCTTTTTTTTCTATCTACATTTGTACATGTTACAAATTAAACTAAGCACAACTGACTATTAAAGGGTGAAAAATTGTTGCAGATTTTGATACCATTCTGAGATTTTTTTTTT